CTAGACAGGGGTGTCCTTTATCGCCATTGTTGTTTGTTTTAACATTGGAAATATTATTGATTAAAATTAGAGAGTCTCAGGAAATTAAAGGAATAGAAGTTAACAAAAAAGAATATAAGTTGAGAGCTTTTGCGGATGACTTGGTTGTTACTTTGTCGCAACCTGATTGCTCTGTAGTAAACTTATTACAGTTGATTCATTATTATGGTTTGGTTTCGGGTTTCAAGATTAATGTAAATAAGACTAAAATTTTACCTAAAAATATGTCTAGTCAGGAGAAGCAGATTTTGGCTAACTTGACGGGTTTTGAGATTGTTAATAAGGTAAAATATTTGGGGGTGATGTTGTCTGTTTCTAATGTAAAATTATTTAAAAATAACTATGAAAGGTTGTGGGTCAGGGTACAGAAGGACTTGAAGAATTGGGAGAAGTTGCAATTTCTCTTATGTACCCTGACGTACAACCCAAATGTTGGAGATGTGGTTATACGGATGCTTCTTATTATCATATTTGGTGGTCATGCAGAGAGATAAAAGCATTTTGGATCAAAATATGGTGGAATATCCAGAGAATTTTTAGAAGGAGGGTAAAATTTACTCCGCAATTATTTTTGTTGGGCATTGTTACAGATTGTGATACAAAGGAGGTTGTATTGATGTTAAATTTGATTACAGCCGCCAGGCTGTTAGTAGGACAATACTGGAAGAAGGAATCTTTGCCTACATTGCAGGAATGGTTTCTTAAAGTAGCTTATCTGGCGGAAATGGCAAAGATTTCGGCTTTCTTAAAGCAACAAACGCAAGAGAAGTTTCTTGCCATTTGGGACAAATGGATAAAATTTATACAATTTAGATTGGGTATTAAAAAATATCACATAGCTTTTTCATAAGTTTTATTTTCATATATAGAGAATGTTATATATAGATACTTTTTATATATATATAAATATAAATTTTTTTTAATTTAATTTTTTATTTTTATTTGTTAATTTTTAACTAAGCCTATATTCTGCTCTGGGAAGCTCAGGGGGGGGAAGGGAGGGTGTTTGTGAGGGGTGGGGGATGGGGGTTTTTTTTATATGTGATGTTTAGTTTTTTTTTGTATATGTTGTTTTTTGTTTTGTATTATTTTTGTCTTTTTGTAAAATTCATAAAACTTTCAATAAAAATTTTTTAAAGAAGAAAAAAACAACAAGTGGTGTTGCAAGAAGGTCCATTCACCGCTTTCACCGCTTCTGGAGGCAGGTTGTTCTACTGATTAATTGTTCTAACTGTCAGGAAGTTTCTCCTTAGTTCTAGGTTGCTTCTCTCCTTGGTTATTTTCCACCCGTTGCTTCTTGTCCTGCCTTCCGGCGCTTTGGAGAATAGCTTGACTCCCTCTTCTTTGGGGCAGCCCCTGAGATATTGGAACACTGCTATCATGTCCCCCCTTGTCCTTCTCTTCATTAAACTAGACATACCCAAGTCCAGCAATCGTTCCTTATATATTTTAGCCTCCAGTCCCCTAATCATCTTTGTTGCTCTTTTCTGCACTCTTTCTAGAATCTCAGCATCTTTTTTACATCATGGTGACCAAAACTGGATGCAGTATTCCAAGTGTGGCCTTATCAAGGCCTTGTAAAGTGGTATTAACACTTCACAAGATCTTGATTCTATCCCTCTGTTGGTTTTTTTGGCAGTTGCTGCACACAGCTGGCTCCTATTTAAGTGATTGTCCACTAGGACTCTGAGATCCCTCTCACAGTTACTTCTATTGAGCAAGGTACCCCCTATGCTATACCTGTACATTTGGTTTTTCTTGCCTAAATGTAGAACCTTATTTCTTTAACCATTGAATTTCATTTTGTTAGATAGCTCCCAGTGTTCAACAAAGAGTACTTTCTGAATTTTTTTTTATATGATTTCTACACTGGTGGATGAATGTCAAGTTTTGGAGTACATTAGAATCACAGGGATACTGTGGATTCTAGTGCTGCCTAAGGCACGAAGCTAGCTGGGCGATCTTAAGTCTCTTTCGGCCCTAGAAAGGACGCAAAGTCAAAAACCACCTTTGAAATGTTGCCAAAAGTTTTCAGGGATTTCTCTAGGTCAGAGGTCCCCAACGTTTTGGGCACCAGGGACCGGTTCCGTGGTGAAAAGTTTTCCCACAGACTGGAGGGTGCGTGGTTTTGTGTGCTGCCTGCATCCCACAGATGGGGCTTTGCTTGTTTGTGCGGCCTAGTTAGTACTGGTCCATGGACTGGGGGTTGCGAGGAGTGAAAAATGGGAGGAGGAGAAGGAGAAGGAGGAGGAGGAGGAGAAGAAGAAGAAGGAGGAGGAGGAGGAGGAGGAGAAGGAAAAGAAGAAGAAGAAGAAGAAGAAGAAGAAGAAGGAGGAGGAGGAGGAGGAGGAGGAGGAGGAGGGAGGAGGAGGAGGAGGAGGAGGAGAAAGAGGAGGAGGAGGAGGAGGAGGAAGAGAGAAGGAGAAGGAGGAGGAGGAGGAGAAGAAGAAGGAGGAGGAGGAGGAGGAGGAGGAGGAGGAGAAGGAGAAGGAGGAGGAGAAGGAGAAGAAGAAAAAGAAGAAGAGGGAGGAGGGGGAGGAGGAGGAGGAGAAGGAGGAGCAGGAGAAGAAGGTGGAGGAGGAGGAGGAGGAGGAGGAGGAGGAGGAGGAAGAGGAGAAGGAGAAGGAGAAGAAGGAGGAGGAGGAGAAGGAGGAGGAGGAGGAGGAGGAGGAGGAGGAGGAGAAAGAAAGAAAGAAAGAAAGAAAGAAAGAAAGAAAGAAAGAAAGAAAGAAAGAAAGAAAGAAAGACAGACAGACTTTGGCCCAGTCTCCTTTTTTCAGCTCAGACTACCTCAAAAGATTGTTGTTATTGCAAAAGGAAATGGGAAAAATTGAACACCTCTCTATTGCGCTGAGCCTGGAAAGTTCTCTAAAGAAGGTAGGAGAAATATCTAACAAATAAGAGATCCAGTTTGGTTACATGTAGTCCTTGACTTACAACCATTTGTTTGGTGACTGTTCAAAGTTACAATGGCACTACAAAAAAATGACTTACAATAGCTCATTTAGTGGCCTATCAAAGCTTCAATGACACTGAAAAAAGTGATACAACCATTTTTCTCACTTATGACCATTGCATCATCCCCCTGGTCACGTGATCAAAATTCAGACACTTGGCAACTGACTCATATTTATGACGGTTGAAGTGTCCCGTGATCACGTGATCCCTTTTTGTGACCTTCTGACAAGTAAAGTCAGTGGGGAAGCCAGATTCACTTAACAACCATGTGATTAACTTAAACAACTGCAGTGATTCACTTAACAAAGGTCATAAAATGAGGCAAAACACACTTAACAAATGTCTTGCTTAGCAGCGGAAATTTTGGACTCAGTTGTAGTTATATGTCAAGGAAGGCCAAGATTCTAGTCCCATGAAACTTTACAGGCTGACTTGTAACCCAAGCCTCTCTTCCACACTGGCCCACCATGCAGGTTCATTGTGGGAGAGAAATATGTTTTGTACTGCTCATAGATATAAAGACATAGCAAATTCTAAAATATTATTTGGAACATTTTACATCAGTTCACGAGGTCTGGACCACAAACACATTTAGATGCTGCCTTGTACATTTTTTCTAAACAGATACTTACTGTACCATCTATAGAAATTCCTTCTCTTTTGATGTAGAAAGCTGGCCTGTAATTCTATAGTCCCTGCTGATGGAAAACAGCTCTACACACTACTTTATTTTTTTGTTGTTGTTCTTTTTTTCTTCCAGGGTTGAAATTGCTCCCAGCAGAAAAGTTTTCTTAGTTCCCCTTCCTGCCCTATATCAAATGCTGTTACAGTGCAGAATAACTTAAACATGACAGAAAACAGGTTTGGAAGGGACCTTGAAGATCTTCTAGTCCAACCCCCTGCTCAAGCAGGAAACCCTATACCATTTCAGACTAATGGTTGTCCAGTCTCTTCTTGAAAACCTCCAGTGTTGTAGCACCCACAACTTCTGGAGGCAAGCCCTTCCACTGGCGAATTGTTCTCACTGTTGATATAAAACTTATTGTAATAGTAATAGTAGTAAAGTTGGAAGGGACCTTGGAGGTCATCTAGCCCAACCCCCTGCTCAGGCAGGAAACCCTACACCATTTCGGACAAATGGCTGTCCAGTCTCTTTTTAAAAACTTCCAGTGTTGGAGCATTTACTGCTTCTGGCTGCCTGAATGCCAACGAAGCAACTTCGGATTTCATCTGTACCAAATGGATAATAACTCTGAAGCCTAATTTGACGAGGAGTGGAGTTTCACAACAACAACAACAACAAAAAAAAAAACCGCACAAATATTTGAAGGGAAGAGATAGGACGGGTGAAGAAAAACTCAAGTTTCTGCTTCAGCAGGTCATTCTGATCTAGCTTCTAAACGTCTGCCTTAAATCTGAATATGAGAACAACGCTGCTTCAGATCCCTGGAAGCTACTCACCCAGAAGGAATGTCAGATACAAATAAAATATATCCCAAGCCTGGATCTGCTGTTATCAAGTTGGGCTTGCAAATGCTGTTCCGGGGGAAAAAAGCTACTGAAGGCATCTTAAGATAAAATTCAAAAAGTTTAAATGGAGTGAGTCCAATTCCTGGATTGAAGCTGATAGGAACCCCTTTTTCAAGTGACTGGAAGTTCCCACTTCTTTTGCTGGCATTTAGCAGGAAAAAAAAATCATACTTTTTTTCTGCTGCTTTTTCCTGTTTTCCAGATTTGTCCTTTGTGAGATCAGCTTTCTAACAACTAAGGGTACCTATTTATCCAGAGGGGGAAAAAAAATTGATCACAACCCCTAAAAAGCACAGTCAAAGAAGGCTGCTGTCTCCCTTGTTGCTGCAGAAGTGAAGGACTAACTATTCTCTTTTTGGTTATTGTACCTCTGATTTATTGATTGATTGATTGATTTAAAGGTCAGGACCCTCACAACCACCCTCTTCTTCATGGTCACTTGCAAACATTTCCAGAAAACTCAACTAAAGCAGTTTCTGCTTATGAAAGTCAGAAAGGGCTTTAACGATGGCCTGTTTCTGCCTTTGCATGTGTACAAGATGAGAACAAGGTGTTTAAAAGCCTGACTATGAGCAATGGTGGTGACTTGTTAATCAGGAATTATTCAAAAAAGGAGAACGGTGCCACAGTCACGGAGAACAACAACAGAGTCTGCTGAGGGAGAAGTGAAGGAGTAAAACTTTTGTGGGTGGGTGGAAGCTAAGGGAAGAGGGAGGGAAAAAATTTTGGCAAGCAACGGATGGTGCTTTGCATCAGTTTAACAGTGAGCAATAAGCTTCTTTCCTCTCATTGTACACCACCCTTCCCTCCTCCTGGTCACTCAGGACCCTATAAATAATTCGTTTTCTCCTGTCTTTCTCACTTCCCAGTTTTTAAGGCAGCAGGGAAAGCCAGCCTACGAGGCTAGAGAAAGAGAAAGGAGAAAAGGGCAAAGAGGAGAAAGAAGAAAGAGGAAAAAGAGAAGAAGAAGAAGAAGAAGAGGAAGAAGAAGAAGAAGAAGAAGAAGAAGAAGAAGAAGAAGAAGAAGAAGAAGAAGAAGAAGAAGAAGAAGAAGAAGAAGAAGAAGAAGAAGAAGAAGAAGAAGAAGAAGAAGAAGAAGAAGAAGAAGAAGAAGAAGAAGAAGAACATCATGGCTAGTGAATTCAAGAAGAAAGCTTTCTGGAGAGCTGTCGTGGCTGAATTTTTGGCCATGAGTCTCTTCATCTTCATCAGCATCGGCTCAGCCTTGGGTTTCCAATTCCCTGTGATGGTCAACAAGACCATCACGCCCATTCAAGACAACGTGAAAGTCTCCTTGGCTTTTGGCATCTCCATTGCCACCATGGCCCAAAGTGTGGGCCACATCAGCGGAGCCCACTTGAACCCGGCCGTGACTTTGGGTCTTCTGCTCAGCTGCCAGATCAGCATTCTCCGGGCTGTCATGTACATCGTGGCGCAGTGCTTGGGGGCTGTGGTGGGCACTGCCATTCTTTCCGGCATCACGTCCAATCTGGAGGGCAATTTGTTGGGACTCAACCAGGTAAGTGGGCTGGGAAGCTCTTCTTCTTTGCTGGGGGAGGGGGCAGCTGATGTTAAAGATTCTAGTCCTCCTGGGTGATGGGAAGCACGAATTGGCACCCGCTGCTCCAAATGAATTGAGGATGTTGGTGATGTTCTTCGGCATGCTTAGCTGGTCGGAGATTAATTTCGTGGAAACCAGGAGAGCAAAGTCTTCTTTTGATGGCTTTTCGGGAATTCCACCCCCCCCCCCAAGAGCTGCTCATAAGATTTTGCCTCCAGCCAGAGTTGGTGCTTCTTTGTAACAGCTGGGCGTGAAGCGAAGAACAGCTATTGTAGCTAGAGATAAGAACAGGGCAGAGCATGGGGTTGTTAATGGCATATTTGGTCACGTGTGGTGGGAGATAAGCTCCAAAGGATGGGGCTTGACAAGGCGAATTTTAAATATTGGGGCTCCAGGTTTCCAATTGCCCCATAGTGAAATGGCCATTCACTGTTGGTCATCTGGTGACAGCACGGGAATTTCTTTGTGGAGAGGATGTTGGCAACCTGCATTCCTTGTTCAGCCTTGAAGCCAAATTGTTTACCAAAGACTCTTGTGGAATTTGAAGTGTTTGGAAGTACACTGTTCTAGAACCCAGAATTCACGGGTATGAAATTGGTGTCCTCACTGGAGGCATTCAAGCATGAAGATTGAAAGGTTAAGTCTGGGGGCTTAGCTGGTAACAGAGAGGGAACAGGCAGAAATTCAACAAGTGGAATCCTTCTCCCCCACCCCTGCCCTCCTCTTTCCTTTTCACCCCTTTTATTTTCTCCTTCCTTCCTTCCTTCCTTCCTTCCTTCCTTCCTTCCTTCCTTCCTTCCTTCCTTCCTTCCTTCCTTCCTTCTCCTCCTTCTCCTCCTACTTTCTCTTTTTTCTTCCTCTGCCTTTCTCCTCTCTTCTTCTTTTCTCCTCCTCCTCCTCCTCCTCCTTCCCCCTCCCTCTCCTCTTCCTCCTCCCCCTCCCCTCCCTCCCTCTCCTCCTCCTCCCCTCCCCTCCCCCTCCCCTCCCCCTCCCCTTCCTCCTTTCTTCCTCCTCCTCTTGTCTTCTCTCTGTGTGTGAGTTACTCTGTTTTTCTTAAAGCTATAGGACTCAGAGAAATTAAAACTGGGAGTGGCCCCTTTGGTCTCCTTCAAACACAGAAACATGTCAATAATCAGGCTGTACCAATAGCCTGACTCTTATCTTCTCCAGCAGACTACTCCAATGGAGAGATTCAAAGATATTCAATCAGCAGTCTGTGCTTATAGATGGTCTCTTATCTTCTCCAGCAGACCACTTTGGAGATACTCACAGTCACCAAGGCAAACAGAGACAGTCTGGGGCAGCCCACTCCAGAACTAAGAAGTGCACAAAAGAGACACTGGGTGCAGCCTCTCCATTTTTTCATGCTTTGATGCCTCCAATGAGGGGCGCCAGTCTCCTTTAATAGGAGTGACCAAAAGAATGAGCATTTGGCCGCCCTACACATGCAGGCACGCCCTTTTGCACACTCAGGCATAACTTATGTCCCTTGGCACATGTCTCTGGGGACTGTCAGTTGCAACAGTCAATGGATCACCTCACCTCCCTGGGCCAGTTTACAGAATCTAAGGATTCTTTATGACAGAGTTCCCCAACCTTTCCAGCTTTGCAGTCCAGCTGGAGGAAGGGGAGAGCGGATGGTTCTACATGCGCAGTGGGCACACACGTGCATACAGCCCCATTTGCACCAGGGGTGAGTACACACGCCCACCGCTTGTGCAAATGGAGCATGCATGCATATGTTCGGCCATTGCTCAAACAAGTGGGGATGCACATGAGTACACTCGCCCGCCATGTCTGCGGCCCGATTCCGAACGGTTCCATTCATGGTAGTGGGCTGCATCCTGGGAGTTGGGGACCCCTGACATCTGAAAGTTCCATCAGGCAACAGCTCAAAATGGTTCTTTGCTTCAATTTGAAGCAAAGTTGAAATCAATCAATCAATCAATCAATCAATCAATCAATGAGAATAGAGCTCAAGCAGGAGACCCTATGTCATTTCAGACAAGTGGCCGTTCAGTCTCTTCTTTAAAACCCTCCAGTGATGGAGCACCCACAACTTCTGGTGGCAAGCAGTTCCACTGGTTAATTGTCCTCACTGTCAGGAAGTTTTTCCTTAATTCAAAGATCCTTCTCTCCTTGATTAGTTTCCAACCATTGTTTCTTGTCCTGGCCTCTGGTGCTTTGGAGAATAATGTGACCCCCTCTTCTTTGTGGCAGCCCCTCAAATATCAGAAGACTGTTATCATGTCACCCCTGTTTCTTCTTTTCTCTATTCCTGCAACCGTTCTTCATAGGTTTTTTGTCTCCAGGCCTTTAATCATCTTAGTTACTCTTCTTTGCACTTTTCCCCCCTCCAAAGTTTCAACAACTTTTTTTGTAATTTTTTTCAACTTTTTAAGCAACGTGTTGCTCCTTATTTATCTGCCTCTCTTTAAAACCAGGCTGATCGAATATTGGAATAAGCGGGTGCACACTAAAGCATGGCAAGGGGTCCAAAGAATAAGGTCAAAAAAGGCAATATGGCGCCTCAGAGGGACTGATCAAAGCTGCGACTATTTTTATGTGGATTTCATCTTGACTTTTTGATCATACTTTGCAGACTCCCTGCATGATGAGGTCCAGATTTGCCTGTCCATGTTCTAATATCTGCAAGAAAAGTCTTCTCCAGTGGCTAAAATAAAGAGGATTATTACACCAACACTTTCTTTTTTTCATGCATGTTTAGGGGGCCACCAATTATTAGAAAGTTTGTCATGGAATTGTGCAGCAGCTGTCCAGATAAAATTGGAAACACGCACAAACTTGTAGTCTTCTATATAACTATAAATATGTTTAATGTTCAGATTTACAGGAGTCTTTGTCCTCATCCAAAAAAGGAAGAACATAAGATAGTCAGGAACACACAAACAGCATGAGGTAAATCTAAACTGCATGCAAAGCATCCAGAAGAAAAAGGCGGGAAAAATGGGAAACTCCCCCTTCTCACCCAGCAACCAATCAGAGCGTAGATTGCCACATGCAGGAGCCCCCATTCTCCAACCAATGAACTACAACTGTGTGTTCTGGCCCATTGTACATTTTACTGTTTCAGATGCTAAATTCAATATCCTAACAAAGTTCTCCCTCATTTAAGAATGTTTTGGAGCGTGCAGCATTTTTTTCCACTTGCAAAAAAGAAATTCATACAACTTTTCTTATACCTCCCAACTTAATCTTCTTCTTCTTCTTCTCCTTCTCCTTCTCCTCCTCCTCCTCCTCCTCCTCCTTCCTCCTCCTCCTCCTCCTCCTCCTCCTCCTCCTCCTTCTTCTATGGCTTAAAAAATTGGGGTGGATTGATGGATGGATGGATGGAAGGGATGAATGAATAATGGAAGAATGGATGGGATGGGTGGATAGATAGGAAAAGGAAAGAAGGAAGGAAGGGATGAATGGATAGATAATGGATGGAAGGACTGTGGATAGAAGAAAGGAAGTAAGGAATGGATGGATGGAAGAATAGATGGGATGGGTATATAGGAAGGAAGGAAGGGATGGATGGATGGGATGGGTGGATAGATAGGAAGGAAGGGAGAGATGGATGGATGGATAATGGATGGAAGGACAGTGGGTGGAAGAAAGGAAGAGATGGATGGATGGATGGATGGATGGAAGCATGGACGGAAGAATGGAAGAAAGGATGGGTGGATAGGTAGGAGGGAGGGAAGGAAGGAAGGAAGGAAGGAAGGAAGGAAAGAAGGAAGGAAGGAAGGAAGGAAGGAAGGAAAATAATACCCCATGCTTGGTTATTGAGTTACAACAAAAGCACTTCACACAATGGTAGATTCCTTCAGGGTCTACCCAATCAACTAGTTTCTGTCTAAAACATCAGTCAAACCAACTGACTTGACTTGGATTTTTCAACATTGATTCTTCATGCCAGAAGTCCATTCTCTTTATGGCAGTATTGAAAATGTGAGATCAGAGAATATTGGAGATCAGCTTGGGGAAGACGCTTTCTTCCTTAGGCTGTGGGAAATGACACAGAGGCACAGTGAGGACTAGAAAGCTGTTTAGACTAACTACTGTTAAGAGGAAGAGCAATTGGCATAGAAATGAGGAATTGTATCTCTCTTATTCAGGGGTGAGGGACTATTAATATGGTCTGTCTGGGCTGGATATTTCCCCTCTCTCAGAAATAAAATACAATTTAAAAACTTGCTCCCTACCTGGAAATTGCCCCATGGGAAAAAAAAATGAGAATCACCATTTTTCTTTTTCATAGTGCAACATTGCAGTCCAAAGCCCCTTTTTCTTAGCGACTAGATATTTGGCTTTTATTTTATTCTATTGCCTTTAAATTGCAATAGCAAACCAGGGCTTCTGTTCTGGAGGCGAAATGCTACAGTTTATCCACCTCCATTCTTGGCCCATTAGGAATTGCCATCTGTGGTTGCAGGAAGGAAAACAAGAGAGAAGGAAAGGAGAGAGGGAGGGAGGGAGGGAGGGAGGAAAAGAGCGAGAGAAAAGAGCAAGAGAAAGAAAGAAAGGAAGAAAGAAAGAAAGAAAGGAAGGAAGGAAGGAAGGAAGGAAGAAAAAAGAAAGGAAAGAAGAAAGGAAGGAGGAAGGAAGGAAAGAGAAAGAAAGAAAGAAAGAAAGAAAGAAAGAAAGAAAGAAAGAAAGAAAAGAGAGAGGGAGGATAAACAGAGGGAAGTGAAAGAAGGAAGGAAGGAAAGGAAAGGGAGAAAAGAAAAAGGGGAGGAAAGGAAAAGAAAGGAAAAAGAGAGGGAAGGAAGGGGAAGGAGAAGGAGAAGAGAGGATAAATGGAGGGAAGGAAGCTTCATCCTAGCTCAGCGAAAAAATCCTACTATTTTTTTTGCTGTTGGATCTTGGACAAATTCTCCATGCCAATCCTAGTCAGAACACATTGGGCTTTTATCTTTCTGCTGCTTTGGGCCTATCTTTTATTTTTCAATTGT